TTGTTTTCAAAAAAGGCCATCTTGGTCCTTTTATTTCTCACTGTATATGATGTCATAAAAACGTGCCTGATGTATGAATGCTGAAGAACTTTCTTTCATCCCATCCCTCAGGTCTACCACCGCCCGCTCTTCAGGCTTTGTGCAAACTCATCACTGCTTCAGAGGCAGGAGAGCAGCTCATCAACAGGGTAGGCAGCTGCAGCTTGGAACAAATTATTCTGGATTTTTTAAATCTAATGCACCACAAAACAAATTGGTCTATGGCTCAACTGACAAATACAGTTGCTTGTATTTAGTGTTAAGAACTACTTAGCGATTCTTTTTTTGTAATTAGTATCATGAGGTTTCTGCGAGAAGAGAATATGAGGGATATGGTATGACATAACTTAGTTACGCCAAGAGTAGATACACGCTAACTCACCGGCAGCTCAAGAACTGGAGTAATCTGCATAAAATCAGTACAGCTAAGCTAGAACTAGCAGTTTCATTTCAAGTGCAAAGTCTTAACTACAATCTGAGGCCTGTTCTTTTGCACCCAAGCTCGTGACACCCGAGAATTAATCTTACACTGCAGTGTTTACGTGTGACATGTGAATATCACATGCTTACAGTGAAAGAAAAACTATCCACTTAGCTGGTGATTAGCAGTTGGTGACACCTCTTACTGTGATTTATGGCCTCAGGGCACGCAACCTGAAACGTGCTCAGTGTAACCTATGTATGCTTATTGCACAAAACGTTTTACTGTGCTAGATATTTATGTTAGTCTTTGCTGTTATCCTTCTTGTTGACCTGAGCCCTTTGTGAATGGCCTATGTGCATGCTATTAAAGCCTATTTTCTCTCCCCTTCCCTTTAACGTGCCATCTGAAGGCTGTAAAAAATATGGTGGCAATGGTGAGTGTGCCTTCACTTACCTGCACTCCTTCCCACTAATCCAATCTGTGCTTTCTGTCCTGATTAACTTTCCAAAGCATTGATAGAATATAAATCGCTTTTGTTGTTTATTTTCTGTGTTGAGCACCTTCATTCGTTACATTTAGCTAAACTGTAGTAAACACTGTCTTGCTCTGTTTTTTCCACTGCTCCTTCCTGCGTGCAGGTCTTAAGGTTTTCGAGTATTTAAGGATTTACATCAGGGTTCATTATAGGTCAAACAATGTTTCTGTGTGGTAGAAGGGATAAAGCTATGATGTAAAAGCAAGCCTCTTGTTATCCTGGAGAGCTGAGTGAGGAGAAGAGAAATGTTTACACGTTGTGCAAAGTTACATGAGGTTGACAAAGGTGTCTCTGTTCCAAGCCCAGTAATCCTGACAAAACAGGCGTGTCTGCTCTCAGCAGGGCAGTGTAAAGCCCAACAAAGCTCCAACCCTTTCTCTGCTTCATCCTGGGATATGTTCTGACTAAAACATGTTATGAAACAGCTTTATGCCTACTTCAGAAAGTCTTTGTACAGATTTTGTTGTCATAATATCTGAAAACTTAAGAACCTGAAAAGGAAGTATTAATTTAAACTACACTATTTAGAGGATTTAATTTCCTGATAGAATAGGAATTTTTTGATCTTCCATATACATTTTAACCACGAATCACATCTCCAGTAAATTCACCTGTTTATTTCATTTATGTAGTCCTTTTTAATCATCATCTCTTTTCCATTTTACATCCTCCCCCTTTTCTTTTGCAGCTCCACCAGGTGCTTGTCCAACTGCAAACGGGAGAGAAAGAACAGGATTTCTCCCTCCTGCCCATTCAGGTGTCCATAAGTGTGCAGCTATGGCGACTGCCAGGGTGCCATGAGTTTCTAGCTGCCCTTGGTGAGTCAAATGTTACCTAAGAAAACGTCCCCTTCCAACTTCCCACCCGTCATGCTTCCATGGATCTCTGTGGACTTATAGACACATTCTCTAATGTTGAAGTTTAAACTATTGTCTTAATGTGTTTTTATGTGCAGGATTTGACTTATGTGAAGTTGGCCAAGAAGAAGTGGCGCTGAAGACAGGCAAACTAGCCAACCGCCGCACCTTGCACTTTGCTCTCCAGGCTCTGCTGGCGCTGTTTGGTTAATATATTTATTTGTTCTTGTTTCTTGTTTAATTTCTGTTGTTTTAAATCTCAATTTTTTTGCTAACTTTACTCTTTTTCTCATTCTTCAGACTCCACAGAGCTGCCCAAGCGTCTGAGTCTAGACAGCTCATCTTCTCTCGAGTCTCTAGCTTCAGCTCAGTCTGTGTCCAACCCTCTGCCTATGGGATACTCAAGCCTTCCCTTCTCTCCTCCTTGCCTGGACAGTCAGGCATCAGATGCCATCTCTGTGTACAGCCTGAGCTCTGTAGCCTCCTCCATGAGCTTTGCTTCCAAGTCGGAGTGTGATTTCCTTGGGCATCGGCAGCGCGGCGGGGCCACAGCACATTACTCCATCCACAAACACTCTCATGTCCCCCGTAGTCGCTCCTCTCCCCATGGGGCAGCTGCTGCGGTGGCAGGAGCTCGAGGGGAAGAGGAGGAGTATGAGGGCTTTTCTATAATCAGCAGCGAGCCTCTTGGAAGTCACTGTGACTCTCTGCCTCTGCCACCAGGCCACAGCCAGCGCCACCACCGCGGAGGGAGGGGGATTGTTGGGGGTTCCGGCACAGGAGCAGGGAGAGGCTACTCTGTGTCAGTTTCGTCAAGGGGCAGCGTCAGCACCCCCACATCCCCTGTCAAAACCAGCCTGGTACCCAGCTCAAACTCACCATTCCAGAAGGTGGGTAAGGTGAGCAGCTCAGATACAGGTGAATCCGACCAGTCCAGTACCGAGACGGACAGTACTGTCAAGTCTCAGGAAGAAAAAACTGTCCCTCTGGACCCTCAGGAGCTTGCGCAGAAGATTTTGGAAGAGACTCAGAGCCATCTACGAGCTGTGGGGAGTCTTCAGCGAGCCGGGGCAGAAGGTGGAACAGTGGGAGGAACCCCAGCTCGGAGCAGCGCCTTCCGCTCTTCTGAAACCAGCGCGTTTAGCCGTCCTAACAGCAGTGCTAGTGGTCGAGCTCAGTCCTCCCCAAGACCCAAACCCCCCTCTCGTTCCTCTTCACTGCAGAAGATAAGCTCTGGCTACAACAGCCCTGCAGTCTCTGAGTCTTCTCAAAGAGATGGTAGCCATCCTTCACCCACCCTGGACAGTCATGCACAGTTCAAATTAAAATACCCGAGCTCCCCATACAGCGGCCACATCTCTCGCTCTCCGAGCAACGTGTCTCCCAGTTCTGGTCACCAGTCTCCAGCTGGTAGTGCCCCTTCCCCTGCTCTGTCTTACTCCTCTACGGGCTCAGCCTGCTCTACATCTGCTGATGCCCCAGACCTGGACCGGCTGAGAAGAGGGGTTATTGATGAAAAAGTCCAAGCTATACACAATCTGAAGACCTTTTGGGCAAACGCTACGGCCCAGCAACAGCAACATCTAGGTCCTGTCAAAGCCGTCCACAGCGCTTCTGGACCCCTTTCTTCTGCCAGCAGGGATGTACTGAGCCTTCTAAACCTCTCCCCACGCCATTTCTCCCATAATGACACCCAAGACAGCCTGGAGCTGCGGGAGCTGGGGCTGCATTCACTAGACAGGAGCAGCAAGAACTCTTCAAATGGACACCACTGCTCCAACCCCAGAAAAGTTGCCCAATCACCTACTATTTCCACAAGCAGCAGCCCTGGTGCTCGCTCTATCCGACTACCTGCCGGCAATGGATACAAGTTCCTGTCACCTGGAAGATTTTTCCCTTCCTCTAAATGCTGAGACATTAAAAAAGGTCCCTTACTTTAATCCATTTTTTGCTATCCTGTTTGCTGGAGGAGTAGGGCACTGTTTAAGCTTGACTGACAACAAGAAGGATTTGATTGGTCATTGACTGTGATCCTGGAGAGGTACATGAATGCTTTAGAGAGGGTCATGTCTTTGTGCCCATAACACTGTAAATGGCAATGAGAAATACTCAACGACCTGATACTGTGTTTGTGTGTAACTGTGTGTCAGGTAGATGTAAATGCCATTTGGTATTTTCCCTCCAAATCTGTGCTGTTTGTATGGGCCAAGATGCAACAGCTCTGACTGATTTCCTCCATTCTGTTTTTTGTTTTGTTTTTAAATTTAATGGTTATTGTTATTATTGTTTGTTATTGTTATTAATATTATAATAATTATTATGTTTTGTAAATTAATTCCAGTGTTTCACAATCAGTATTACGCAATTTTATATTATTAAAAAGTGAACAAACCTGTACCATGTAAAGATGGATAGAGTGGTAAAAAAGATTTAATATTTTTTATCGAAATCAAATGGGCATTTTGCCTGATTTCTTTGTGAATTGAGTGTCTGCTCTGAAGCATGGATTCTCTTGCTATTCAATGTTAAGTACCATGTATGACTTTTTAGCCCATGATTTTTTGAGATTAAACATAAAATTCTCATGACAACCATCTGTCATTTATCAGTAAACTGTTTCAATAAAAAACAAACATGTTTGATTTCTTGTATTCCTAAATTTCATAAGAATAAAGAATAAGTAAAATCAGATTTTAATAGATGGATTGGTAGGCTATACACACTATTCATGCGATACTACAGTATACTAACTACATGCACCCAATAGCAGACAACAGGTGTAAGGACACGTCATTGTTGGACTAAGAAAATAAAACTGCAGACCAGGCAGCAGATAGTTAAACTTTTACTTAATCTTTAAAATGTTTTCCGACGAATTATGTGTATTTGTTCATACAGTAGCTCAATAGCTGGTGTGGTTTTATCCATAGACTGTAAATATTACTATTATTAGGTTTTATTTAATATAATTATTAGGTTTTATTTTAATATTATTAGATTTTATCAGACCTGGTGAAGGGAGGCGGGTTAAAGCTACCAGGAGGTGAATTCATTGGTTAATTCTTAGTAGTAGATCCGTCAGCGTCTACTTTAGCCAATCATCGTTTAGAGGGGGCGGGGCCACGTGTCGTTCCCTGCAGCTCATGACGTCATATCAATCAGCGGTCGCTGGGCAGTAGCAGCATTATCGTCTGGAGCGGGCGACGATGGTCCTCATCAAGGAGTAGTAAGTGTCATGATTCTCTCTGGACTGCTCGGTGTTTTTAAATAAGAAATTAAACTATCTTTACGCAGATTAAGAAATAAACTGAGGCGGGAGAGGTTTTTGGTTGTTTTAGTGCTAGTGGAAACTTTTAATGTGTGTGTGTGTGAGACGCACGAGGGGTAGGGTGGGATTGCTGTGGCCTACCGGCTTTGACAGAAACACTGAGCAGTGTGTGTGTGTGACAGCTGCTCTTATTATACACTGTCTCATACAAATACACACTCCGTATCTTACCTCTGAACAGTTCAGTCTGTTGGTGTTTTGTGCCTCGACATAAGCTTTTAAATGATAAGTGTTTTAGCCTGCGAGCTTTTAGGCTGAACAACTTTCACCAAGTTGAAACAGGAGTCAGCGAGCTCAACAATGCTAATGCTAGCTAACTTCACGGTATGACCGCCGTAGTGTAATCTTTGCAACATTGACACAATCAATCGCAACAGCGCATGCCAATCGATTGATGATAAGAGGCTGATGATTAGTTTACGTACTTTACTGCTGTCTGTAGTGAAAGATAACGACACGACTAGCTTGCTAGCAGTATCACTGTTTATGTTACTCTTGTGTTAGCTAGCTTTCAGCAGGCTCAGTCTTGATGCTGGATTTGAAAGACCTCTGTCAGGTTATAGTTCTCTCAAGTCACTGACGTAAACTCGTCACTATCTCACAATGCGAGTTCATGTCAGCCCCACAGACCGCCTTGTAAAAAAAAAACTTGTGTCAAGTCTTTGCCTGACAGATCAGACAATGAGAGGATGCTGGATGATCATCAGTGTTTCACGGTCTGTCAAATAACTCATCTAAAGCTTCAAGCTAACGCCTTCAGCACAGGGACGTGACACTAATTGGATTAAAATGTGTATAACAACATGAATTTCATAGCTTAGGTAATACAGGCTTTAACGTGAGAATAAAAAGAAAACACTCCTCAGTAAGCTGACCAGCAAAGGCTCAACACATATCTCATCCAGGTTTAATGTTTGGAAAATCAGTACTATTGAGATCATCACACATGTGCCCAGTGGTTTGTTAACGCCCTGGAAGAGCCAGGATGTCCCTGTTATTTGAATACATTTAAAGGGGTTGTTGACATCAAGTTAAATTCAGTTTTATCAGAGAAGAGGATTATTTTGAAAATCTTAAGAAAACAGTTAGTTTTTCAGATTTGAATACAGCTCTGCTTTGATGCATTAAGAGAACTTCCTGCTTTCTGCTCACTTTTTTCCTCTTTTACTGTTGTGTGGTTAGTCGTCACTGCCTGAGGCCTCTTGTTCATCAGGGTAAATGATGCAAGTGCTTTGGGTAGAGCATGCCACTCCCTGAGGTCTGTTGAGACATGAAGAAAGAAGTTGTAGGATAAACAAAGTAATCCTATGAAATAAATACTCAGATTCATTTATATTTTTTTCATGGTTTATATTGCTGTCACCGGTCTTGTTTTTGGGGGTTTTTTCTCAGCAAATCATGTAAGTGTTCTTAATGGCTGGACAGTATCTCAATCCCAGCTTTACTTGCTATTATTCCACTTTGGTGAATCATGGGTTCCTCTCATCTTGCTGAAGAAAGCTGTGTCGATTAGGCAGTAATAGTCTTTTTTTGTACCTTTTATTTAAAACTAAGAAGGTCTCTGTGAATTGTCAGTTATTTTCAAAGCCACAGTTAAGCTTGTTATGAAACCAAACTACTTCAGAAGTGGTTTAGTTTTGCTTCATAAAATATGGAGATTTGATTATTTATTGTTTTAGATTTAAAAAAAAAAAGATCTATTCCCTTTCTGCCAGTGTCTAAACAAAGTGAATAGAATTGAAACTTATTTTCGATGCCTTCCTTGAGTTAAAAATGTTATTTTGTTGTTTTTTATTTTACTCAAGCTTGTTGTTTACCAGAGTGGTTGGAGTACTTCAGTAAAGGTTTTGTGTGTATGTAACCAAACTTCTCTTTCTTTTGCAGCCGTGTGGTTTTACCCTGTAGCGTTGAGGAGGTGAGTTATCCATCTTTGGTGCTCCATTTTTATACTGACAAAATAAGAAATGCAGTAAAGTTCTGTAGTTGACAGAGTTCTCAACCCTGAGACAGTAAAGCGTCTGCATTTTGGCTCACTTTATTTACAGTGCTGATGTGCTTGTTGGATTGCAATTCTATTCAACACTTTCTTAGGCAATAGATGTATGTTTGTTCACCAGAGTGATTTGATCTAAAAGACTCGACACAGCTCGAGATTCATCGCTACGTTATAGGACCCACGAGACTGGATAGCAGTATCGATCAGCTCAAATGTTATTGATTATTGTGTTTTGAAACATGCAGAACCAGATCATTAATGGAACCTGGTTTGTTTCCCCATCCCTATTACAGCACTGACAGACATTTTACGAATGCACACAATCGTTTTTTTCTGTTTGACTCGCATGCAGGAGAACCTTAATCCCTTATTTGGGCTTTACAGAGCAGTGGCTTGTGGTCAACAAAGGTTTCTGTAATGCACCTTTTCCTAAAAAATGAGTCAACAATTACAATTACCTTATCATTGTGTTTGGCTTCTAGTTGAAAGTTAAGACGACCATAAACACATCCTTTGTTATTCTTGTGAATGTTTTACAGAAGCAAGATTAGTTGTTTGTGTATAAAAGGCTTATGTCATCAATCCAGGACTCACCGTGGGGCCTTATAAGGGAATACAAATCTCTCTGCAATTATTGGAGCATTTTAAAGCTCATTCCTAAAAATGTCAAAATAAGCATTCTCTTTAGGAGAAGTACTGTGGAAGCTGAAATATTTTGCAAACATCTAACCCTTTGTTACTGTCTCATGTTGAAATATAATGACATGAGACTGAGAGAATTTGGCCTGTAGACTAACAGTCTGAATATCAAATAGACCGTCCAGTAAGCTTCTCATTGTGCTGTAATTTGCAAAGACAGCAGCATGATTGAAAGAAGACCCTTGTTCCCACACTCCAGCCTGCACAGGATTATTTAAATGAGTTATACTGTCGTTTTCTCTGCAGATTTTTCAAAGTCTGTTGGAGTGACACCAAAAAAATAGTTAAATTTGACAGTGGTTTCCAGCCTGCTTGAGGTCCAAAATATAATACTTTTTTTACAAGCGTAGCAGGACTTCAAACCACACACTATTTCATTCCTGTTTCAGTTAATAAAACAAACTCAGTAAAAAGTTTGTCCAGCGTTTTGAAATGGAAACGTTTTGATAAGTGATTGTCTGTTGTGTTATTTATGTTCCAGTATCAAGTGGGACAGTTGTTCTCAGTAGCTGAAGCCAGTAAAAATGAGACTGGTGGTGGGGAGGGCATCCAGGTACTCAAGAACGAGCCCTACGAAAAAGATGGCGAGAAAGGACAATATACACACAAAATCTACCACCTTCAGAGGTATGTGCCCTTTTGTACATTTGATTTCATAATTACCGAATTTCCCCCTGGGATTAATGAAGTAATTAATGCTAATTGTTTATTCAGTGTAGTAGCATCATTTTGCCACACAGTGGCAGCATTGTCCTGTCTGTGTTATGAAGTGTTCCTACAGTTTTCACCTTCATATGCTTTTCTGTAGAACCTCTGATAACTGAGACAATATGTCTTCCTTCTCCCTTTCTCCCACCCTGTCTTCCCACCGTACAGTAAAGTCCCATCTTTTGTCAAGATGTTAGCCCCTGAAGGCTCCCTGGTATTCCATGAAAAAGCCTGGAATGCTTACCCCTACTGCAGAACCAGTGAGTCCCCCTCCCCATATCACTTTACCTTTGCTTTACCCTGACACCCTTTGTCCTCTCCTTTGTTAAATACTTTTGTGTGACTTGCAAATGGTCATTTATTTTCTTTCAGTTTGAATTTATAGTGTTACTTACATGTACCAGTTTATGTAATGGTGTTTTCCTCCATTCTCCCCATGCCTATCTTTGACCCAGTTGTGGAAGTAAGTTACCTTTTAATGGCTTCTAATATTTCTTACATTATCAGCATATTGTTCTTACCCAGTTTAAGTTGTTTGAGTAAACTCCATTGACTTTCTATACATCCACTTCTTTTTCATCCATTCTGATCCTTCTTGTTTTTCTAGAATGAGTTATGAAAGACAATTTCTTTATCAAGATCGAGACCTGGCACAAACCAGACCTCGGAACTCAAGAAAATGTGAGTACCTATTTTTCTTTTTACGCAACACTCAGTTAAACTGCTACATTTGAGTTTCTATGCTGCTACTATTCTGTTTTGTTTTGTTTAGGTTCACAAACTAGACAGTTCTACGTGGCAAAATGTAGCTGTTGTGCCCATCGACATTGCAGACAGAATGCAAGTGTCCAATGCTGTAAGTAGAAACTCTAGTGGCACATTTCCAGTGAAAGATACTGACACAGTGTAGCGCCTTCATGTGGTCAAGCCTGATAATAACTGAGCAGTCTGCCTGATCGGATCTGCTGTAAACAGGGAATGTTTACATTTATTATTGATGCACTTTTGATGAAACTCAGTCACTCTTTTCTATTTACATTGAAGCATATTATTAAAATAAGTTCATCACACATTCTCATATCCGACAGTTACTCCATCCAGTCACCAATCTGTACAAAACATTTAAAACTAAAGAGATTTTAAACTTAATAATTTGATTTTAACATACTGCACATGTTCCAGTAGGAGAAGCTTTAATCTGTTTAAAAGATAAAATATTATATAAAAGCCCTTATTGAGATTGTTGATGAAGTGACTGATAGATTGACTTATTATTACAGCCATACAAACGTATTCATGCATATTTCAATCAAAATCCAGATGGACGGATTTGTTAAATTTAGACATGGAAAGGCGAAACCACTCTTCGTTAGCAGAAAGGTTCAAATGTCTTTATTAAATGTATATAAGGTAGAACATGATCAAGAAAATCTGTATCTGTGATGCAATTTAATCATTTCTTTGTGTTTTGAATACATGTGAATGATTTAACATTTCTAATTTCTCAACTTGAAGTCTTTGAGTTTAAAAAGTAAACACACACTCTGAGCATCCTAAGATTACTTAAATCATACTTCAAAATATAAATAAGAGTTTTTAATGATCCAGTTTGAATCTCTGAAATAGTTTTTGAAGATGTTACACATTGTTGCTGTTATTTAACATCGCATTGCCTCATTTCACTCTGGCTCTGTGTGTACACACGTGTTTGTGTGTGTGTGTGTGTGGAGATATGGCTAAGAAGCGTTGGTTGGTGTGTGTGTGTGTATGTGTGTGTGTACATGTTTGTTTGCGTTGGGTGGTTAACGAGGCGGAGGTGTTTGCCTTGCTGGAGGAGTGTGTTGTGTCTAAGGACCCTATCAGCCCTCAGCCTCGGGCATGGCTGCAGGGCCTGGGGCGTACCTCCAGCACAGATGAGTTTGTTAGTGTAATTAAGGCTCACAGTGCTTCATATGCCGGAACTAGACAAACACACAGACACACTCGCACTCTTGCACACACTCTTTTACTTGAAGAGTTGGTCTCTTTCGTCCACCACTGCATATCGATTCATGGACCTCATTAGTGCAGTGTATTGTTATGGTGACCAAGCTCTCAGCATTAAAACAGTTGAATTATACTGTTTTTGTAGACGTTTCTGTCTCTTTCCACACGTTAGGCACCCTCCTGTTGGCTGATAGCCCTGAAAAGTAGCTCTTTTGCTGCAGGCATATCATGATTTATTTAAAATTGCTGGGCCCTTGAGCTGTTGGTAATTTGAAAGCCATTTCATTTATTTGTATTACTATTTCTCATGCTTGCTTTATGAAGGCAGTTTTGTAATGTTTGTCATGTGCTTCTGTGTTTGGCATATGCGCTCAGTATTGCACAGTATTGCTCAGTGTTTTTCTATATGTTATTACTATTGGATCAAGATCTTTTGCGCAACAGGGAACATGTGGTTACTTCACTGAGCTGTGTTTTTCCGGTTAAGTTAAGATTGTTGTTGTGTTTCTTTCAGTGACTGCAGATTTTTTAAACTGTTTTATCAAATTAAAGTTACACCTTATTGTTGCTTGATTCATGGTGTAGTCATATTTCTGTATACAAATTTAAATTGATAACAGATGACCTCAGCTTGTTGAACAGTTTGTCTCAGCTGAGTATAATGTGTGTGTTGTTTTGATCATATCATTTCTTCTCATTGTAGGACTACAAGCCAGATGAAGACCCTGCCAAGTTCAAGTCGGTGAAGACCGGCAGGGGACCCCTCGGGCCCACCTGGAAGGTAGGACTCTAATAAACAGTTGATGTTATGTATTACAATAACATACTACTACAATTCATGTCACAGCGGGCTTGTCAAAGATATAACCCATGGACTATTTGAAGGGGGTTTACACCCTGGTCATTGTAGTTCACACAAGACTTGGGTACACAGCTGTAGTTTCACATATTCTACTGCTATGACTGCAGAAGAGCCTGGATTATACGTTACATAAAAATACAAGGCCCTAAATAAAGTATAGTTAGTCGTTATAAAACATAAAGAATATGGACACTGTAAAGAAGCTACAGACCTCCACGACTGGGACAGAAGACACTATGCATACAACAGTTGTTGGAAAAACTCGACAGCAAACAGAAAGCCACTGTAGAAACCAAAAGAAATGATGCATCAGACAGTATGTGGGAGACTCTTGGATGTAAATGGTGAATTAAAACTCAGTGGTCTTAGACCAAGAATTGAACATTTAGTGTGTCTGGGGGCACCAGCTTCATGCTGTGAAGAGACTCCTCTGCAGCACGTCTAGATAAGAACAGGGCAGAGTCAATGTAGCAAAGAAGGGGAAATCCTTGTAGAAAACCTGCTGCAGTTTGCAAAACATCTGCTACTTGGGAGAGTCTTTATTTTCCAACAAAACCACGACCCCCCAAGAATGAAGCCAAAGCTACTCGGGAAATAAACACATTGATACACATGTCCTGGAGTTAGACCTCAATCCAATCAAGGAAGTGTGTCTGGACTAGAACAATGAATTTCACTTTTAGTCCCTCGAAACCTGACATGTGTTGTGTGAACAGAAGAATGGAGAGACATTTCCGTCTCCAGATGTGCAGATACAGATCAGATAGAGTCCTAGTTACATAGCCCCAGGCCTGTAGATCTTAAACAAGTGTAAGTTGACATTTTTATGCTATACCTAATTGAGATCGATAAGTAGACATTTTCACACAATCATTCAGTATTAACTCCAGCGCACCATCTTGTAATACTCAGAGAAAGCCTGTATAGGAGAGCATAATGCTGGGAGAGACTGCAGGTTGATGAAGACTAATCACCTCTTTCTCAGCTCTAATTGGATGTGATTGAAATTTCTAGTCACCGGGTCAGATAAAGGTTCTAATTTATAAAGATGATGGAATTTTTTTAATTTGGCAAGAAGCACTAATGTCTAAAGACTGATAACATTTTGATTAAAAGGAATATGTCAATAAGACTAAACTCATCCACATAGATAAACTTTGGTAGGAGTTCTGTTGCGTTCCCCTGTAAACCTCGCTGTACCCCACAGCCTTACAAACAGGTCCTGTGCTCTGTGTCAGATCATTGAGGATTTTTATTCTGCAGTGGAGCCCTCAAAGTTCACCATGGGAAATGTTCCTCTGCTTCAAGGATTCTCACAGAACAAAGGCAGCAAAACAGCTTTAAAAAGTCTGAATAAAGAAGCACAACTTTCTATTTTGTGTTTTTAATTAGATCACTTTCCCGTCCGCTGTGGACACGGAAAAAGACTGTTTTTGAAAAGGTGAAAAAAGAAAAGAAGTTACGTGACAACAGAGGCACAATTTCTGCCAGCTTCTCAGAGCAATAAAACTCTTGTCTATCTCTGCATGCACACATGCTTGCATATCGGTACCCTTTGTATTTCTGAAAACTTCTGCTCCTTTGAGTGGGGCACAGAGAGGGAGAGAAGAAATGTCACCGTAAGTGTTTTGATGTAGAATCCGTTTCATGTGAAGTTCTCCTTTAGCGATGACAACTTTTCTAAACCCACTGCAAATTTAGAAATGTTTCTCATTTCCCCTCTCTCGCTCTCTTCCGTGATCGTGGCATCAAACGGCAGTGGGATGAGGGTGATTGAGGCGGGTCTGTGGCATTTTCTCGTGGAATGCCGAGCCAGAATGAAGTGATTAATTAAACAGGTGTTCTCAGAGGGTGTGTGTGTGTGTGTGTGTGTGTGTGTGTGTGTGTGTGTCTGGGGGCGAGCAGGTCCTTGGTGTTAATAATGTAACCAGCTTTGCACCGCAACGCCCTTATCGCTTCACTAGCACCGTTTTATCTGCCTTCCTTGGCCACAAAGGCATGTCTGTCGGGAACGGTGTCGCTGTCAGGGCGGAGGCAGAGAAATGGTTCCTTCATCTGGAGTTTATCCACTTTGCTCTGCCCCAACCCCCCTCCGCCTTTTCTTCTCTTCTTCACAGGGAGGCAAAGTGCAAGCAGCGGATGGATTTAGAAAGTGTGTTGTAGATTAGGGCACTTTTATCTGTGCAAAGCACATCTTCATTTTGATAATTATTTCAGCAAGCTCCCATACCCAAAGCATTATGTATTAATGATTTTCATCTTTGAATGCAGCCAAGATTAGTCTAAAATAATATTCTCTCCGCCTTCTGCTGTTTTTACGATTATTCTCTCAAAGTTTCTCTCAAGTTCTTTTCTTCTGACACTCTGCATAAAAAAGTGATGTGTTCTAAGTCTTGTCATTCTTTGCTTTTCCTCTTCTGACAGAAAGAGCTGGTTAGTAAGACTGACTGCCCGAGGATGTGCGCTTACAAACTGGTCACAGTTAAGTTCAAGTGGTGGGGCCTGCAGACCAAAGTGGAGAACTTCATCCACGAAGTAAGAGGGGCGTGCTGACACAGTTCAGCTTCACACAGTCACAATGTACACTCACAAGCTAGATTCACATTCTGTACAACTGTGAAGAAACATTTCTATACCTCTCTGTTGTTTTTGACATATATAATGGTAATATGTCATGGTATTGTTTTTTTGTAAACAAAACCAGTTATTGATATTTTCAGGGGAAGACTTTGTTTGTGTACATATTGTGATTAAAACATCTTTTAAAATGACCCTTAAATATTACAACGTTGATTTTGACCATGTCGTTCAGCGCTAACTAACACTCCCGTTGTCTCCCTCAGCAAGAGAAAAGGATCTTCAATAACTTCCACCGTCAGCTCTTCTGCTGGATTGATAAGTGGGTGGAGCTGAGCATGGATGATATCCGGCGGATGGAGGCAGAGACACAGAAGGAGTTGGACGAGGTGAGTTCATCATTTTGAAAAAAAAACAAAAAAACTAAACACTCATTGGTCTGCTGTGTCAAACATCTGGGGTAAACATTCACTGCTCTTGGTTCCTCCAACTTTTCTTCTTCTTTCAGCCCATTTCATTTGGCTTTTTTTTTTTTTCTTTTTCATTTTAATTTTCTAGCATGGATATTGATTTCGGCCATTGTCCCTGCTTTATTTGCCATTGATTTATTGACTATTGAAATATCATTGTTTTGTATTTGCCTGTTTCGTACTGCCAATCACAAAAATCAATATTGCCTTGTAGATTAACTGTAATAGATCATTTTCAATCTGATCCAATCAGAATTTTGTCAACATTTTTCATGATTACCAATCTTCTGTGATTTGCTGTATTTTCATTCTTGTCTAGATGCGTAAGAAGGGCTCTGTGCGAGGTACAAAGGCTGCAGACCAGTAGCCAGGGCCAGCTGTAGGTCTGTCGCTGTGTAAGTTCTCACTGGTAGAGGGGCCAGACTTTCAGATGCTTTCTCTGCTCCCTCTGCTTTTCTCTGTTTTTCTGCACGCCTGTATGCTGCTATCACTTTGTACTCTGTGGTGTCAGTGGAGGACTCTTAGTCCCCTATGTCTGAATTGTGCATGTGTGTGTTCATGCATCACATGTAAGGCCATAGCTCACTCTGAATTAGTAAATCAATAATGCCAGATTTCAGAGAAATATGACATACATTATAGGTTGTTGTGTCTTTTTGCTGACCCAGTGAAAATCTCCTAAATGTTTTACACCAGGACATGTTGAATATGTGTACACACTTTAGTATGCTAGTGTTGTCATCTGGATGTATCCAAGACATCTGGGCAAACTTAACTCAGAATCTCTTGTTATTTTTTAAAGAGGTGGCCGAAGTTTAAAAACATAAACAGAAGTTCTGTTCCCGCAGTCTGTACCTGCTGTCCAGATCCTTTCCTCCGAGGAACACAGAGCAGAGAACAAAAACAGTCCTTTTCCTCTTAAATCACAGGCTTTAATTTCTGTGAATCATATTCTCTGTTAATTCTTACCACTGGTTGGCTCTTGGAACCACTTGAAATATCAGTCTGGGAGCATTTGGCCGTACAAGGAGAAAAAGGGAGGACTCTGTGCTGGACTGGCCATAGCAGAACAGGCTCAAACATTCTTGGCTTACAACCAAAATACAGCATTTTCTTCTTAGCCCTCCCCTCTCTGATCTCGCCCAATTCAGCATGTGTTTCCCATTTTCCTTTGGAGTAAGTAAATATGCGGGTGCCATCAAAGAGGGCTGTGGTGAGGAGGCCGATGATGCCTGAACCTATGGACCAGAGGGTGCGCAAGGTCACAGTTTGACTGCACGGTACGACAGTGTGACCATGGCCAAAGCATACATACAGACACTGCCATTTAGGTTTCCATTAGACAGTGCTGGAAGAACTGTTGAACTTTTTTTGCACTTTTTTTGTATTTACTGGTTGGGTGTTGTTGGTGAGGAAAGGGGAGTTGGAGAGAGGGACAGGGCAAGAATGAAGGTGGATGTGTGTGTGTGGGGTGTGGGGTGTGGGGTGGGGTGGGGGGGGGCCTCAAGATGGCTCCTTTTTACCTCATTAACATACAAATGGAATTCTGCAGTTGAGAAGAAGTCGGTGCTGTGATTGAGAAAACAGGGAGGGAAGGATGGGGAAAAAGGATGGAGAAGAAGTGGGAGGGCGACTCCTCGTGCCATTTCATCAGATCTGTCTATTCCTCTGTTTAGAGCCACTGTTGGTTTGAACTGTTCCATTAAGGTGATTCGGCTATCAGATTCTAACACTAATTGACTTTCCAAAGCCATCAGCCTCAGGGTTGGAGAATTTGAAAGTGATGCTTTTATCTACCTAGAAGACAAACAAGGGGTTTGATAAGGACTGGTTGAGCAGATTTTTAAGGAATTATTGAATATTTAATAGTAGAAATCATACACCACAAAAAAAGAGATGGTTTCACTGAGGGCGCGTTCACACTGGCATTCTGTACCGTGCCGTACTCAAGCATGATTGCCCCCCCCGCTGCCCCATTCCCCCCAGCTGGGGTCACACTGCATCAGGACTAACCATGCCTAAGCACGATTACCTCTTGTCCATAACGTCATAATACAGCACGTGCATGCTTTATGTTATTATGAAATATGCTCAGTTGACAAACAGACGGACTCGAGGAAAAAAAAAGGGATGTGCAGTCGAGTCTGCGTCTGCACATCAGATAACACAGAGAGCATGACAGCTACTTTACAGTCTTTGCGGATTATTTTAATCAGATACAGCCATAAATATATTAAAAAATAAGAGACGCGTGGCAGAGTCTGCGGCCGCACATCGGAGAACAACACAAAGAACATGACAGCTACTTTGTGGCTTATATTAAGTCATTTTAGTCAGATACAGACATGAAACTCCGGATTTCTCCATAATGAAAGCTGTCAATGTTGTGTACCCGCATGCTTGTGCTCGTGCATGAAGTGTACCATGCTGAAGCACACCACTCCGAAGTGTGCCAGAGCCAAGGAAGTGTACCGTGTGGGCACGGTACAGATTGCCAGTGTGGTCGCGCCCTGAGTTCCACTAAACCTGCTCTCACCTGTTTACGCTACATATACTGTATTTAAAGTGTTGTGTATTTTCTTGTTTCCCCACAGCTTCGCAAAAAGGGTGAAATACGAGGAACCAGCGCTGCAGAAGATTGAAACGGCAGATTTTAAACATCCACGATGCCTGAAGCAGTGGAGACTGCTAACAGGGTTCTTTTGGTGCCACTTTTACTTTTCCCTGAACTGATTCAGGCTGTGGAGGAGGGGGGGGGTGCTCAGCTACCTACAATCAATAGAGCAGATCCCTGACTTCAACCCAATCATAGACATTCTATACACTGATGAATTGATTTCTAGAAACCAACACGATCCTAGCTGATAAGACTCTGGTTAATTTTGATCTCCTGGGCAGAGGTAGGCCAACTACAAGCCCCGGCCTTCAAGAGATATGAAGAGGAGCTTCTCACAAACAGAGATTTATTTTCTTACAAAAGCAAATTCATCGGCTTGATTCCACTGTGGCAGATGTTGGACCAAATATTTCCCCTTTTTATTGTTTCGATTTTCCTTTTTTGTTCATGTTCTCTCCAAAACATTCCTCCGCAGATGATGCCCTGTCTGACCTCTCTTTGTCTCCGTCTTGGTTTTAACTGTATACACACAGTGGCTCAGTGGTTTGCATTCCCCAGGATGAGTCTGTCTGTTTGTCATACTCGTGTTCCTTCCTGCCACAGCCTCCATTAAGAGATTACTAACACCCAAGGCGCCTTGGCCTATTGTAACCCTCCCCCCATCACCCAATCTCACTCAAAGCGCTGCATCTTATTAACACTGACAATCATGCCCGTACAGGTATTCATTCTCACACCGTTTTTATAGAAACCAACACACACACGCACATGTGCCACATTTCCATCACGCACATGAAGATAAACATGTGAATTCACCCTCACATGCACACTCTCACAGGTGTGGATGCCTTTGCCGTGACTGATGCCTTGAAAGCTCAAGCTGGGCAGATCCATGCAAGCTCGCTCTGCTAAAGATGGTTACTTTGGAAGTGTTTACAGCCCCCCTCCTCCCCACCACCACGCTCTCAGACACTCCCTATTCTGGAGACACTCGCACAGGAAACATGCAACACAACATTCACCTCCCAAACAGCTGTCCCCAGAGCAAAAACTGCACTGAAAAACAGCCACAGATGGTGCTACACCCCTCCAGCCTCTGTCACAAGCCAAACTGCAGCATGCCTCCACCTCACCCTGCCCACCCCAGAGGCCCGGCTCGCTCATCTAGGTCTCTTAGGTTTACGCTCCTTTCTGGGTGTGTTTACAGATTCCCCACAGCCTTACCAGAGCCCGGTCAACACCAGTACCGCACACTGCTTGCCAGAATCTTCAACTTTTGTACCTGTTGGACCTATTAGCCCTACTGTACCTCTGCTGCCAGCTGTTGCTCTAGCTACCTCCCTTATTTCTGACTTGCAATTTTTCCTGACACCTTAAGGTTAGCTCTCGCTATTAGCTGCTACTTGTTGGGAGTGAATCATGGCAGACAAAGCTTTATGAGCAAATGGTTTGTGAGGACTTCTACGTCCTTCGTTCGTCTTCTTGTTTTGTGATTATGTGTCACAGCGCCTGAGGAAGTGCAATTCCTTCAGTAAGTTGAGCAGCCTGTTGTTACCGCACATTTTTACATCTTTTCCTCACATCCACAGTTTGAGGAATACGCCATATTAATGACATTTTAATCCCAATAGTGCACTTCTTCCCCTTATCCTACAGCATCATGCCTTCAGTATTGATTATCACAAGTGTTGCATACATTTTTAGTACAGGTTGTTTCCCCATTACATCCTCCTGTGGGTTTTTTGTAGGGGTATTTGTGTCCCATCAATGTCTTAAATTGTTCAACAGGAATCCAGGGTTTGTTTTTAAGAGGTCTACTTTCTATACTTTTTCTTGCGAGACAAACGTGTAATAAAATCCTCTAGGTTCAACAATTTCAATGTTTTTGTATTCTCTAAACTGTATGAGGAAATGTGACCACTTCCTCGTGAATGGTTATTGGCTTGTCCAAAGAGTGTGAATGGATATCTGGTGTGTTTACATAAAGTCAGCAGTCGTAGGCTGCAAGTATAGGAAAGTTTAAGAGTTATTGTTTGAAGAAACATTTTTAATAACAACACAATCATCTCAGGTGACCAGAATGACACGAGGATATTTTTGATATTGTTACTCAGTTGCCTCAAACTATTCACTTTCTTTCACTGTGCCATATGCTTTGTGGTGTAATGTAGTATTACAGTGTCTATATGATGGGAAGTGGTTTTAATTTGCCCTGTTCTTCTATATCACAGTATGAGACAGCCAGTTTGACTTTGTATCTACTCTGGGACTGTATGCATATGTCTCAAAGAGCGTAAAGTGTGAAACAATTGGTCTTCAGTGTAATCAATGTGGGCAAGTCTATCTTAATGATCCCCGCTATCTGCCAAATAGAGCACCGAGCATCTAGAGAGAACGGGCTAAATCAATGGGTTGCCATCTACCAAGGCAGTGATATATTCACAATGCTACTGTACAGTCTAATCCTAATTTATGAAATCTATAACTGCTTCATTCCTGATCTATTTGTTTTTAAATGTTTCTGATCAGCTTTGAAATTCAGGGGACACGGTAGTGAATGTATGATACTTGTGCCTTTTCTCTGTGTAGACTTTTTTTGTGCCATTAAGTCTACATATTGTACCTAAATATCAAATAAATGTTGTCCAGAAAATATATATTAGATTCGGTTTTCTGATTTTTGGAAAGGTTTGTTAGATTGTTTCTTATAGAGCGGGCTGTTATTTAATCATTTTAGTTCCAACAGGCTGAATATTAACATTTCCATTTTATCAATCCACAAGGCCAAATTCATTTCTTCACTCTATTCCGGCCAATAGCTACACACTTAGGCCAGGACGACAAAAAAAAAAAGTTTCTGCAAGTTAAGGCTTCATCCATGGGCAGCCACTGGTTTGCTCAGGAGTCATATGCTGATATTCTAATTAGATCTATTGGTTTCAAATGTCTCCCTGATGACCAGCTGATGGCACTAGGAAGCAAATATATGTGAATACTACCAGTCTTTATAATAAGCCTTTACAGTAACCATTACAATAATATGCATTTTGTTCGACAATGTTACTCAAGCTTGATCAGCTTAGACAAGGGCTGAGGCTTGACTGGATATTTAAGCTCTTACTGTAAAAGCACATCAGATAAGATTCCCCCCCACCCCCCTTCAGAAAAGTGAATCATGACTCCAGCACAGACTACACTTTCAGTGACCTGCAGGTCAAAAGAGTCACACAATAACAGCGGAATCACTGCTAAAGAGCAGGAAGAGCTGCCAGTCTGCTGCCTGAGATATCCGCCGTTTTATTGTTTGTGTAGGAATGGTCACATGTGCCTGCTGCAAGGAAACCAGTCATATCTGCCCCAGAACAAGCAAATAATGCTGTTTCTAAAAGCGGAGATGGGCAGGCTCGCCCACACACCTCCTGTTTAGTGGCAGCTCGCAGTCGTCTACAGTAGGCATGTATCCATCCGTCCATGTGTCTCCCTCCCTGAGAAGATGAAGGGACGTGTCATGAGTGAGCCCCTGTCATTTAAATAGATGAGGCAACAGATGAAGAGGAGAAATGAATCTCAAAGGGAGGCTTAAGACGTGACACAGCAGGACATCCAGGCATGTTGCCGAAGAATGACTCGATACTGAGGGCTGAAAAACACTTACCGAGATTGCCAGAAGACTAGCTCATTGCTTCAGTATATCCACGTAGAAGAAACAGTTTTCTTAGATGTGTCAAAATGAAGTGTGGCTATAGGTCTCCGTCATCTACAAGAAAGTGTTTACCTCTGTTGCTGCATTTCCTGCCACAATAATACACACAGGGGTGAGATCTTTTTTAGGAGGAAGAGGCACTGTGTACATTTAGCTTGTTTTAGTGCCATGTTTGTGTACAGTATGTGGCCGTCCCCTGGGGCCAGATGTGTCCAGGAGCAGCAGTTTTTCTGAGAGAGGAAAATTATTTTTGGCGTACAGGGGATGGCAGTGATGTCACAAGTGCTTCCTCATCCTCCAGGCTTGGGTCAAAGTTAGCCGCAGAGATTCTCCTGAGTTTTCCTGTTGTTCTGAGAGAGGTGGAAGAGGTGTGGAGCCAATCGGGTGGGGGTGGGGGGGGGCTCTCTGTCACATCCCCTCCTCCTAATACAATGGTGCTTCTCTGGATGACAGATGCTGCTTAACCCAGGCTGACCCAGGGAGCTGTGATGGCTCGGCTGAGTGACAGGCCCATAGAGGACGCACACAGGCTCCGCTCCACAACGCCTCAACAGCACAGGACGCTGTCCCCCTCAACAAGGGAAGGAACTGTCTCTTTGGGCAGCCCCCCCATGTAATATATGTCTCTGTGAGAAAAAGCTTAACACTATGAATTAAGACTGTAGGAGGGCACCCTCTTCTGCTATCTTGTCCAATTGAGTAAAATATTGAGACAAATTGAGTGCTAAATCACTGCAGAGAAGAGTGGTATTGTGACAGTGCTGGAGAGCCTGTAGACTGTCCATTGTCATGGAGTCGCCTCAGCAGCAGCTCAGAGCTGCATTTATCATCACTGGGGACTCAGGGGGAGAGAGACCATGCCATCGGTTTGTCATACTTAACTTGTCTGTCTCCACTTGAGAGGACTGTAGACAGAGCCAGCAGGAGCTGGATCACAGGGGAATTACCATTTCAGTCAGATAGAACAATATCTTGATTTTTTTATCTTTTTCTGCTTTAGAGATTCAGACCACTTGTTTCTTGGGATACATGATATTTTTATGAAACAATATCCCTTTATTTTTAAACAGATGAACACACACCCTACTTTTCATAAAGATAAAACAGCTTTAAATGTGTTTGTCTGGTTAAAGCTCTAATTATGCTGCATCCAGCTGACTCGAAAATATGAAGGCACTCATCGTGCAAGGTGTCGACTGAGAAAATTGTGTTTTTTTATAGCAACACACCCCACAAGCACAGCATCCTTCAGAACATCTCAACAGCTCAACATGCTCTCCCCTCTTCTCCAGGAGACAGGCACTCCACACTATGTCTGCTTCAAAACGCCGCCACCGCCGAGCCCTGTCTCCTCGCTCTGAGGCTGCTGTCCTCTCCTCTCTTGAAATGATTGCACATCCACAAACCCAAAATTCTAAATATACACACACGCCTTCCAAAAACCTCTCAGTGCCTTGTCCTGACCTGTCTCCAGCCCTGTCATACAGCCTGCTCCTCCAGCGGCAGGGCTCAGTGGTAAATTAATTTCTCTATTATCAATTATTTGTCATGATTATATATCATGAATTAAAACATATTTCATATTTTTTTGTCATTGATCGTTATTCAAAATTAAATAACTAAAACAGAATTTTAAATTATATCCACAACCCAGACATACATTTTTCATATCATGTAAAACAGATTCCAGCATGAAAATGTGACATTACCTACGGCTCACTCTGACGCCAGCCGCTAGGTGGCACTGTGTCTGTTTGGTAAAAGTCCTTTTGGTTCCCCCTTTTACAGCTACACAGAGCTGCCTGACACCAAATTCTCTTCATGTCTACTGTCCACAACGGTGGAAAAGCACAATATCTTGTCCTTTTACCACAGAAAATACCTAAAGTGGTGAATAGAAATAGGCTACCTTTTGTTCGATGCTCCTTTTTGTTTTACTTTAATACAAACAATCACAGAGTTCCCTTCATCTGTATGGGCAGGCAGACATCCCGGGTTTTAGTGTAAGATTCATTTAATATATCGATTATACATCTATATTTTTACGAAGAGGTTTTGTTGCACACAGATAAGAATATGAAATTTTATCCTGAAAAGAAGAACAACATCCAAGGTGCCCGAAAACTTCACAGCAGGGCGGATAAATCCATCCAAACACACACACGTGTGAATAACAGAAATCGTTATGACTCATTTCGGTTTACGTAACAGAAAATAAAACAGTGTTGTGCAAAAACGAGACATAAAATGAGCATGAATAAATATAAAAGGGGTTACTTTATTTTTGTATTTAAGTTTTTGCACCTATCAAAATGACACATTACACATACGTATGAAGCCATATGGGTTTTCTTATATTGGTCATGCAAAAATGTTCTGATTTACAGACTATTATACTAAGAGAAAGTTATTGAATATCGGAGCTGAAGCCCAATATCATCCACATGATTTAGTTCAGACTGTCTTTAAGGAGGATTTTTTTTTTCTCCCATTGGGACACAGATTCACACTCAGAACTCATGATTGGTCCTAAGTGTGTGAGTGACTCACTCTAGGATATTAGCTAATTTCAAACTTTATTGCAGTATCATTATCAATCCATATATTTAAAACAAATGGATTTGACAGCACCTGCTGTGAAATACTTTAGTAAGGCCAATTTGGAATCCTGGTTAAAGTGTATTTATGATATGGTTCGACCAGGAATTTTGATTTAAACTAAGACTTTTCATTTCCAGTAGCCTGCCTGTGTGAACAAGTCGTCTAGTTGTTTAACTGCAGCATTGCAGCTGATGTAATTTACCGTTTTATAAAAATAAAAAAAAACATGCAGGCTACTAATCGTGACTATAAAGGTTCACACACAGTGCTGGTCGCTGCATGGATCAATGGATGCAGGAGCTTAAAAAAGGTTTGTTCAAAGAAAAGTCTAAAGTAAAATACAAAAGGGCATTATGTGGAGTTTTACTTCATGCACTGTTTTCCAGTCGAGGTCGAGGATTAGAAAATGGCAAAAATGTAGACTAGCTACAACTTCGGTTTAGGGAGAGAAAAGACAATCCTTAGGAAATTAATTATATTGTTTGCGATACTGTGTTCAGTTCAAATCAGATTGTAGCTTTAAATGGGACAACACACGCCAGATGTTTAGGTCAGAACATTACAATTTAAGTGGAAGCAATTCCTAAAGATCTGATTTACACACACATCTTTACAATAAGCCTACCATTGACTCAGTAGACCACCTTAAAAGCATTTGTCCCGCCCCCGAAGCTTTCTCTGGCCCCTCTGATTGGCTGAGACCTCCTGCATGGAAGCGGCTGTAGAAATGCAAAACTTGTTGCTGGTTCTTGTGGACGCGTTGATCTCACACAGCGCCGAGCGGCAGAGCAGAGTGTGAGTGTATCTGTGAATCGCTCCCCAGTGCGCTCAGACCACAGCAGACACGACTCGGTAAACGGAGGGACGAATAAGTTAGGAGCGCAACGCATTTGAAGGACATAAAGCAAGGCGCCTCTCTGCAAGGCGCATGACCGGCAGCGGGTGGAGGATGCTGTCAAGCCGCTCTGTGGTGGTTGAGTGCGGGTAGTGCACACGCCGCGCTGCTCCCGGTTCGGGTCGCGCAAACGGACGCTCCGGTTCTCCGGTGCCTGGGTTGGAGACCCGTGTGTGGACTTCGTAATCACACTGGACTTTTGCCTTTATGCCTGTGCAGCAGTGATCGTGATTTTGAAGACATTTATTTAAAGAGGGATTTTTCACAGAGGAAATTTAAACCATACGGCTCCACTTGGACTTTTTATTGTTTCCAGTATGGGACCTGACGCCAAAAGTCGCTCTGGGACATTTGACATTGGACTGGAATCATGAATTAGAAGAGTGAAATGGTCCAATTCCCTGTTTGACTGCTCCAGGTCTTTCTGGGTTTTTCTTTTAGTTTGCAAGTGAGGTATTTTATTCACAAGTTACGCTTGGATAAACGCGCACAGACAAACTTTAAAATATGATAGGTCACTTGAGCAGAGTTTTTTTTTTAAATCTGTTTGGTAAATAATAGACAAAAAGAAGATCAATTAAAGTGCACGCGTTAAAGGCAGGAGCAGGAACGCAGTTGCGTGCGTAATTGGACACGGTTGTGTCCCCTCTTCTCTTTGCGTCCTTGGATAATTTGAAAAACAAAAAACAGTTTATTCACAACAATGAGAAGTGATTTGGTGAGTTTTAACATTTTAATTAGTAGATTAAGCAGTTTAATCAGTTGTGTGTCATAAATGTTTGATTAGTTTTTTTTTGTATATCTTTTTTTCCACTTTTTGCTTTTGCGGACAGACGGAAAACAGACAGTGTGTCGATGTCTGGCAAACTGGCCGTCATGTGGGATTGATTGCATGGGAGTATGTTTGGGCTGGAGCAGTTTGGTTCTCAGATTAATAGCAGAAACCCTGGCCAGTCAGAGAGAAACATAAACCAACCGAGACTGAACATGGGCTCTCATTATAAAAGCCCGGGTTTTCACGCTGGAGGCCCACCGGGAGCAGTGGAGCCCGGTATGGGCCCTCTGAGCGAGCCGCAAATGCTCGGGCTTAACATGAACATGAACGGAGAGCAGTACGGGGGCTTTCATCCGCGGGGCCACTCGGACATGCATGCAGGCGGCGGACTTCAGCAGCAGCAGCAAGGACCCATGCATGGATTTTTCAACAACCAGCAACCTCATCAAGGGCATCCTCACAGCCATCAACCTCATCCCCACCAACCTCACCCTCATTTCAGTGGGAATTTTGGAGGCCCAGAGCCTGGCTCATCATGCCTGCATGGTGGCAGGCTAATGGGCTACAACAACAATGGCATGGGACCACAGCAGGGCTTTGGAGAAGGATTTGATCCTCTCGCTGAGGGGCAGGCAGGGGACGGCTTCCCCCAGCAGCAGCAGCAGCAGCAGCAGCAGCAGCAGCGGCCTGGTAACATGCCTGACTTTCAACATCATGGGCCTCCCAGTGGCAGCCATGCTGTCCCTGCCCCCTGTCTACCCCTGGACCAGTCACCTAATAGAGCGGCATCCTTCCATGGGCTCCCTTCTTCCTCATCCTCATCCTCTGAGTCTCACAGCCTGGAGCCTCGGCGGATGCCCAACCAGGGAGCTGTAGAGGGATTAGAGTATAACTTCCCAAGTGAGCCTCCATCTGGACATTTTGATGTCCATGTATTTTCCCCATCAGAATCAGAATCTCAGTTACCCCATTTTGGGCCAGGGAGGCCAGTTCCTGGTGGGAATTTTCCAGGGAACAGTGGCATGCCACGGACACCAGGTATGCAGGGCATCTCAAAGGGACACCAGCCGCCGCCACCACAACCCCAGCAGCCTCAGCATGGTGTGTTTTTTGAGCGTTTTGGAAACGGCCGGAAGGTGCCCGTGGGAATGGAGCCGGGGGTCAGTGCGAGACATCCTCTCATGCAACAGCAACAACAGGCTGGCTTGATAGCCAGACAGAACTCATGTCCCCCTGGCCACCCCAGACCCCCTCAGGCAGAGCCCGGCTCTACTAACCCTAACATTCTGGACGGAGGGGTCATGATGCCTGGCCAACACAACCAGTTTGAATATCCCATTCACAGACTGGAAAATAGGGGGCTGCACCCCTATGGGGACCCCATGTTTAATATGCAACAGCCAGCTCCTCCTCCCTCCCAGCAGCCCCCAAACCAGAGGCTGCAACACTTTGACTCTCCTTATATGAACATGGCCAAAAGGCCTAGATTTGACTTTCCAAATGCACATGGCAGTGAAGGCTGGTGTGGTGGAATGGATAACCACCTCTCTCCTTCTGCCTACCCTGGCCTGCCAGGAGAGTTCACCCCTCCTGTGAGTGAAGGTTTCCCACCAGGTCCCCTGCAGCATCCAGGGCCAGAGCAGCAGTCTCTACAGCAGCGTCAGAATGCAGCCATGATGATCAAACAGATGGCCTCTCGAAACCAGCAGCAGAGAATGAGGCAGCCCAGCCTGCAGCAGCTGGGTCACCACGGTGATGTTCCTCCTGGCCCAATGGCTCACGGAGGCCCAGTAGGGAACATGCCTCAGCCTAACTTTGACAGGGAGAGTGGAGGCAGGATGCCCAACATTGATGGACAAAATCCTCATGTAACTCAGGAGACTTCCTGGTTCCAAGGGTCCCACCCAGCAGGAGAGATGATGTCAAGGCGTATGGGTGGAGCGGGAAATGAATCAGGGCCTCATGACATGGGGATGCAGCAGAATGGGGCTGGGATGATGTTTCGGCCAGGCATGGGCATGCAGGAGCCCATGAGAATACCAGGAGATGGCCATGTTCCGGCTCTCCATTCCCCGGGCATGCACTCACAATTCAGCACCAACATGGGCAACCTCTCGCAGATGCAGAGTCCCGGAGCAGGAACAGGGCACCCCAATGCACCAGCGGAAAGGCGGCCAGCTGATTTCCCTGCACCGCCGATGGGGGCACAACCAACGTTTCCCTATGGAGGGGGTAACCGTCAAGGGCCGCCCCACAGTGGCCCCCAGGGGGTGAGCACCTCACCAGGGACATATCCTCCTCAGTCTGAGTTCCCCTCAGGCCAGCGGTCATCTGTTAGTAAGTTAGGAGCTCTGTCCCTGGGGAACTTTAACAAAACCAGCTCTAAAGACAGTGTGTTTGGTCAGAGCTGCCTGGCGGCCCTTTCCACAGCCTGCCAGAACATGATAGCCAGCCTAGGGGCCCCCAATCTTAACGTAACATTCAACAAGAAGAACCAAAATGAGGGCAAGCGAAAACTGAGTCAGACGGAGCAGGACATTAATAGCAGCACATCTAATGGCACTGGCAGTGCTGGTCCTGAATATTTTCAGAGCAGCACTTCCCAGAACAGCCAGATGCCTGGCACCGGGAATAGCAACTCTAAGCCTGCAAGTCAAAGCCAGACGGTGCAGGGGGAAGCCAGTGCCCTCTCCCCAACTTTCAACATGGACGCTACCCCGTGCAGTGAGGGGAAGGCAACAACAGGGAGTGGGAGAGGGAGAGGGAGGAGAAAAAGAGACAGTGGACATGTGAGCCCTGGAATTTTTTTTTCCTCTGACAATGTTAACCCTGTTGTAAGTCCAGGCCAGCAGACCCCCTCGGCTGGCGTTGGGGAGAGGGGTGGGGGCACGCCCCATGAGAAACACCTCCAATCGCCATCTTGGGGAAAAGGAGGTGACCTAATGTTGGGGGACCAGGCTGATCTGATGTCATCTTTAGACAGTGGCATTCAAAGTGTTGCCAAGTCTGACAGCAGCTCACCTCGAGTGGACTTTCCTGACGATGTCAGCACCCACTACGGCAACGAGGACGAGGTATCCTCCAGCTCAGACGCGGGAGGGGCCTCTGCAACAAAGCCTAACCGCAGCCCTATGATCACCGGCTCACCCAAAATACAGAGGGGTGATCATGGCTTGATAAATGGACAGAAGCCCCTTGGCATGGGCATCAACAATCATACTACCTCGACACCAGACAGCTATGGACTAAATGCTGGTGGGGGCACAGGGGCCAATGGTGTCAGCCACCCAGGCACTCCTGGGGTGGAGCAGGTACGCACCCCATCCAGCACCTCTGGCCAGGATGAAATCCATCCTCTGGAGATTCTGCAGGCCCAGATCCAGCTCCAGCGGCAGCAGTTCAGTATCTCTGAGGACCAGCCCCTGGCCATGAAGAATGGCAAGAAGAATGGCGACTGTCCATCGCAGAATGGAGACAATGAGCTGGCAGGCTGCAGCCCGGATGCTGGTAAGGGCTCAATGGGCACCATTGACCTTGACACCCTCATGGCAGAGCAGCACGCCACCTGGTACGTGCCCAGTGACAAGGCCATGATGGACGGGTCAGAGGATGACAAGGCCATGGGACCATGGGAAAAAAATAAGAGCCAAAACAACAGTAAAGAAGGTAAATAAAAACTGCTTCATATATTTGGCTAATCTTTACCTCTTTTTCTTCTTTTTTATTTTCACTTTGTGGTCATTCACACATGCAGCACAGACTATATTAACAAATCTATTTTTCTCACAACATTTGTTTCCTTATCACATATATTTTTCACGTATTCTAAAAATAATAATCAAGTGTATCAATTAAATAACAAGTAAAGCTGCTCTGTGAACGCTGATGGTAGATAGCTCATATTGTGCGGTCAGAAAGCAGCTGTCTCTGTTTAACGTCTGTCTTTGTATTTTAAAAGTTATGCCTATAGGAAAATTTTACATATAATGATGGAAGCATCAAAAAAACATCGATTTATGCAGTAATATTCTCGTTAAATTGGTCCGTGAAGAAGATATAAAAAAATGGTTATCAGAATGGCCACTTTAAGTGCCATCTGACTGAACAAAGTAATCCTTGTATTTTTTTGCATTGTTTTTTTCGAAGATTCCTTATTGTTAAAGCCCTTCAAAAGAGCAGCTCAAGAAAAGTAAACATTTCCTGTGGTTCTTTATCTCGGTTTTCAGGGTGAACAACTACATTGAGAAGATTAATAGCTTTTTGAGGATATGCATTCGCGCAGCGGGGTTTCCCTCGCCTTGTTACGTGTTTGTTTTTGTTATTATCAGGGGATAATACAGAGCTGCTCAATGTAGATTGATTTTAGATTGGCAGGACAGGATTTCAAAGTTTACATATCATGCTGAAGTGAATAGATACGTTTTTTATTTGATTTTTTTTGTGTGGAAAATACTTACATTTGATTTTTTTCAAGCACTTTTTAGAAATAAGTTAAAATGTAGGCTAGGTGTTTATATTCTTAACCGACTATCTGTTATTTACAAATATTTCTTCGACATAATTATAACTACTATCTACCTTAATCGGAGTAAAATATCTTTGTAGATTCGACTTTTTTCACTACAGAAAGTTTATGATAGCTAATGTAAAATCTACAGCCCTAAACCAACAGAAGAAATATTTCTAGTAGACGGAGATTTCATGATAAGCACTTGATGGTTACTTGTTCAATATATTTAATGTAGCATAATTGTTTTTATGGTGATATGGAAGTGCAGAGGAATAGTTTAACTTGTACGTTGCTGTGTGGTTTCATCTTTTCACCTCCCTAATTATTATTATTATTATTATTATTAATAATAATCATTTTTAATAATAACAATTGTTATTATTGATTATTATTGATGATAATAATAATAATAAATTAAATTAATTATTGTATTATTTTAAATAGTGATCTGTTAATATTAGTTTGTGTGCATTAATATTAAATAAAGCAAATGGTAGGCAAAAGTTGTAGTGGCAATTAAAATGTGTAAGTTTTCATGGAGGCTTTTTGTTCATATAGTTAATTATTTTAAACGGTTTTTTTTTTCTTGTCAGTTTGTGTTTTTACGTGTGTGATTTCCAAACCGTAGACGGTGGTGCTTAACGTTGCTGCTTGAATAATGTAAAAAAACCTCTTCCCTCGGTCGATGTGAATTAATGGATATATAATAACGTTAGGATTCATGTATGTGTGGATAGCGCTCAGCGCGTCTCGAGCGCCTCTTTGTTCTGATCGGTGCGGGTGCAGAGAGGGGCGGGCGCGCGCACGGAGTCTGGGGTCCAGGCGTTTTGTTTATGTGAAGCTGTGCACAGGGAGGTGGGAAAACTAAGGCCGTTACTCCGAAAGAGCTGTGGAACTCACCATTTCGACTAATGTTGGCAAAACGAAAATTTGGATAATAAAAACAACAAACAGCCTAATAAACTATTTCATATTTATTTTTTAGCCAGAATGACCAAAAGTCATACATTTCAGCTTTGTTTTTCTGTTATCTTCAATACACCACTGATCGTCTCAGCTAAGACGACAATTGATCCTCATGCTAAACACAAGAGGCACATGTCTAGTTATTTAATTGAAAACAATTTGGTTAAAAAAAACAACAAAAAAACAAGCAAAGAAAAAGCACAAGATAGTAGGAAAAAGGCCAAATGATGCCAGAGCGTGATAAGTAACATCATCATTTTTGATATTGATTAATGAGTTTTATCCTGAGTCAGAAACCCAAAACTGATAAGCATACGCTCATTCTGTTGCTATGATCATTTAATTACTCTGAGACTGATAGCACATTAGAAATTGACAAAAAAAAGGTAGCTATTTAAAAGCAGAATAGTCTAATTTCTTCTCTTTCATCTTGTCTCCTTGTATCTCCTCTCCTCCACTCCTTTCCTCCTTTCCTCCTCTCGTCTCCTCTCGTCTCCTCTCGTCTCTCAGTCCTCCCTGCATGGACATGAGGCATGCAGCTCGGGAGCGATCGATAGCTAGTTAGCACAAATCACGGCTCCTGACAGTTTCTCATTTGAGTGCCTCAGACAGCAGAGATGAAAAAAAGGGTGGAGGTGTATTTGGGAGGGGAGGGGGATTTTGTGATTGAATCTGATGCTTAGGCTACACAGAAGGGAGCAAAATAACATAATAATTTAAGATAAGTCATAGCCCACAGTGCACTTCCATAAGAGCCAACATCCCACAGGCTTTTCACGCTGCAAAAAAATATCCACCCGGACCAGTAAGTGGAGTTCTCAGTCCTGTGAACAGAATCCTGCCTTTGCGGAGATAATGTCACTGACACTAATGTGAAATAAATCAGGCTAATTCATTAGTCCATTAGCATTAACTAGATGTTACTCGGAAATATTGCAAAAGATCATAATTTTCATTAGGGTGAAATTATTTATGTAGTTCCAGTGACAGTGGAATATATTTTTTTATACGTCTATTAAGTTATAATAACATTCTAATTATAATTACAAGATTATGTAAGATATCTTTTCTTGTGGAGATACTCTAAATGGTTCTATACGCCTTTTCCTAATGTGGTGGATACAATGTATTTGTATTTTTTAAACTTCCAAAAATGACCTGTGTGCTCACAATGACATTTTTTAATATGCCTTATTGTGCTCTCTCAAACGTGTTGTAGAATTATGCAGATTCATTTCTACCTTAACTTATTTCCTTCTTTCCCAGTGGTGTTTGGTTCAGTCAGGTTTATACGTTTAATTGTGAACAGTCTTAAAAAACATTAACACAGAGACACATATTCCGATTTATAATACAAAGGAAATGCACTTAAATATTTTTTAATACTTACAAGCCGAGGTGATAATTTAGTTTAAAGGGGTTAAACTTCGACCAGAGTTTGGTTAAATATGGAATTGCCTGCTGAGAGTTTAGATTTCGTAGTAAGACCTGATACAAGGTCTGTATTTGTTGATTTAAGGTCTTAGTGTTTTCGCTCTTTTGCATGGGAAGTGAACTGTAACGTCTTGAGAACTGAATTCGATGTAGTGTGTTCTTTTGGTTTGCCTCAGAATGCAGTGACATTTAAAGAGCTGGGGGTCTTGGGTCAGTTTGGTCACATGAGGTGAATTTTTCACTCTATAGGTGCCTATTGTACAGTAATTTAGAACTTCAGAGGGAGCCCAGATCATTTTGTTGCTACTTGTGTTTGTGTTAATGCTCTATGTGCAAAAGAGAATACACGAGCCACCAGTTTGCTATCATTCAAAGACGACACAGCATAAATGTTACATTGTTTGTTACCTAAAAGTTGCTATGCGCTGAACGTATGAGGATCAAGTTAAACTGTGCTTAAAGCTGATGCCAGTTCACCCAGTGCACCCCATCTCCCCCCTCTCTGTGGCCCCTGTCAGCCTGTTTAAAGTGACACATGCTGCAGTAATGGCTCCCTTTGGACCCCATGTTTGGCCTCCTCTGTGACAGCATGTAGCTCAAGTTTTTTCACTGTAGCCCGGTTTTACCTGCCGCTGTAAGCTCAGACTCTACTGTGCAGCACCGTGTCGTCTCTTCCCACTAAATATGGACTTGAGGTGCACACTAGTAACTGTCCTTGTGTGGTGTCAGTTAATATTATTTCCTCTTTTCAGAGAAATAGTTACACTCTTCCTCTTCCCTTCTCTTCAGTATATCTGCCAGAAGCTGACCGTTCGTTTGGAACCTCGTGCAAAGTCTTGATAACAGGCCACCATCAGGCGTAGGAAGTGATTCAGTTATTTTTATTTCTACTTTTTGCCACATGCACTTGTTTTTTTTTTTATCAGCACAGTTAAAACACTTCACAGTTGACCCTGTGGAATAGTTTCACTCCTCAGTCTCAGTAATCAGCCCATAAACAGCTCTAATAATGATCAAATCTCCCTCGCTCTGACTTTGACAGGTTTGGGGGAAAAAAGGGAACTTGCATCTTATTACACCAACTAGAAAGCACTTAAATCTGCAGAAGGAGCTGTATTGATATTCCACTATGGAGCACACGTTCCTGTGAGACTACATGCCTTTGACATTTTAGCGTGACAACAAGCTCACAAATCACACCAGTAATTTCTATTTCTAAAAAAAGACAAAAGTGATTGGCACGTGCTTGAATGTGGAAAAAACAGCTCGGGGCAGTGTGTGTTCTTTACCTGTCATTACAAGGTGTTTCATATTGACGTTTTCAACAACATAAATCCAACCAGCCTGCTACACACTCCTGTACTACAGTAATGATAATAATCATGATAATCATAGCAATTAGCCTTTGTAATATTGTTTCCAAAGGTGGCAATTCCTCCTCAGGCGACTCCTGTTAGTTCACTTGGTTATTGACAGGTTCATCAGGGTTTCGAAAAACAGCCAGTTTAAGTTTGTAGTGCTGATTTATGCAACAAAAATACACAATTTTACCAACAGATCCTATCTTCAAAAACATTTCCTCCTGAATAATATGTGGATGAAGAAAGTATTGCATATCTTTATGTTTTTGTTTTTCTGTGACGCAAGAGTCTGATGAAGGGCAGGTTTTGTAGACACTGCAACTTGATAGTTTGGATTTGTCAGCTGCAGACACAAAGTTTGATTTATTTCGACTCAGTGTCAGACTCAAAGCTTC